ACCTCCCACCTTCGAGTAAACTCATCTAGCCCTTGCTGCCAGTTGTTCTTGGCTTCTCGCTCAGTCTCCAGCCGCTCGTCCCGCCCAAACGCCCTTGCCCGTCCGCCTGCCCCCGCTCCCCCCACCCCGCCGCCGCCTCCGTCGTCTCTTCGCCATTCCGACGGCGCGTGGCCTGCTCTACCGGTCGCAGAAGGACTGCGGCCGGAAATAATGCCATGGCCTCTCCCGCCCCGGTTCAGCCACACAGGAGCAGGCTCTTGCTGGATCTCTGAGGAGGAGGACGGCGCCGCTCGTCCAGAAGATGCGGCAGAGAAAGAGCTGGGTTCGGTGGATCGCTCAAAAGCCGCTAAAGACTGACCCTTGGCCAGCGAGAGGGACAAGGATATGGCAGTGGAAACGTCCTGGTCTGGCGGGTACCGCATGAGGAGCTGCAGGCAACCGGTGCAGTCTTCTGCCAGCAGCTGGTGGCGTATCGATACAACCTGATTCGTTTGAAATAGGAGAGGGGGAGGAGGGGGCGAGGATAAGCATAATGTTTCAAACGTCTTTTGAGCGTCAGCACAGACGGGGGGAGGACTGAGAAGCGTATTTGGAGCAGAACATGTAGGCGTAATCAGTGCAGGCATATATGGATGTGGTTGAGACGACGCAGCAACACCTACTTGAGACAGCAGCGACCCCCGCTTGGCAATAAAGGCGGTACAAAGCTACGACTCGCACAAGCGAAACAAAACATCTCTTTGTCATCCGCTCGAGTTCGCCCGCTTCTAGAAGATGCCCATGTACACCATACGCTCCATATCGTTTTTGACGGGGGTTGTACTACGTCCAACCAGTGCTGACCACAAGGGTACAAACGACAAACGTATCGGTGACAGACAGACAGACAGGCTAGAAAATCGATCGGCATGCATCACATGGACAAGGCTCAAGAGTGATGGTGGAACAAGCGCTGACAACGTACACCCAAAAATTAATATGAGATTTATCACGGGATGGGCCAAAGCAGGCTAGTACAAAGCACGCACCATGGCAACGGCGACGTTCTCGATGCACTCTGGCACATCGGGTTGACCTTCGATCCACGATGAAGCGAAGATATGATCCCACAGCACCAGCACCCCTTCCACGCGGAACTCTCGCCCGAACATCAGCCGCGCCCACTTCATGCCGTAAAGCTGCTCGACGAACAGCACCGAGAAACACAACGATCAATAGATCAACGCACACGCGCCACCCAACAACGTCACGGCCGGTATATTGTAACGCAGCAACACCATCCAACACGAGCCCGTGAGCTTTGGTGGGCCGAAATTTCACTTTCAGATAACCTATGAGCCCCAAAACCATTGCCACGGGTAGGTCGACAACAACCATGAACCTCCGCCCGCACCCAAACCGGCCACCTGCCTGAGGGCTAATGTCGAGATGCGACAGGTGCTGCTGCAGCTCTGGGTCAGCCGCTCGCATCCGCACCCCCTGCAGCCGCTTGCACATTTCCACCACGGGCGAGTCGACGCTACCCCCTTCCCCGCCGCCGCGGCCCGCTCCCAGTGCCGAGGTCGAGGTAGCCTTCTCCCCGTGCTCGTAAAACCTCTCCAGTCCGCTCATGACGGCGCTGAAGAGCCAGAAAGCGTCCGCTTCGAGGTCTTCCGGTGTGGAGCCGTGTCCGAGGATGGCGGCAAAGGCAGGGTGTGTACCCGCGTTCAACGGCTCCCCGTTGACGATCGACTTCCCTACCCACGGCGATGCTTTCACTGCTGCTGCTGCTGCTGCTGCGACAGCTGCGGCTGCCGCCCCGCCCTCCTCCCCAACGGCAGCAGCGGTGGCAGCAGCAGTGGAGTCTCCAGCGATGGCCTCTGCCCGTGTAGCTGCGGCGACTTCTTTCTCTAGTACCAGGATGAGCGGGGCCAGGACTTCGTGCATACCCTGACACACAAAACGGTCGGACGTGTGGCGTAGTGCGGAAAGTTGACAACGTGAGCGTGATGGTGCATTCAAAAAAAGGGGAAACAAGTCAAGGTCACGAACCGGGCAGCTTCGGAGTGCCAGAAACTCATCGGTGGCGTCCTGCACGGCCCGAAAGCGGGCCGCCGTATACGATTTAGGCTATCCTGGCGGGTCCCATGGCAAGTGAACACCTTGGAAACTTCTCGGCTGACTAACCAACCTCCCAAGTGAAACATGCGTTGGCCGTGGGAGGACTCGGGCTGTCGAAATCCCGAAAACACACGACCGTTTCTTACGGAAAAGCTAGCTTACCTGCCGGTACGCCGTCCCCGTGTTCAAGTCCGCCCACACCGAGAGAACGCTGAGGAGGAGTTCCTGTCTCGCCGGGGCCAGGAAGTGGTCGCCGCAGCCGGTGGGAAACAACCTCTCCAGGTCAGCCTTGATCGTATCTGTCATCTCCTTCCGCTGTCGGATGTAGAACAAACAACATCAACAACAGCAACAGCAGCAGCAATAGCAGCAGCAGTAGTAGTGAGAAGAGACGTGGACCAAAAGGCCCACGCATACCACTCTTCCGTATTCTGTGGGCACTGGAGATGTTTGCCTAGTCAACTGTCTGGGTTAGGGTTTGAGCACACGGTCGTGTTGGAGGCTCGTCGGTCAATGCAATATCCATCGGGTCAACCACAACGGAAACGCCAGGCGAACCGCGTTCTTCAAGACGGCCAAATGTGGTAGCCTTGGAAAGCCGAGGGACTTGCAGTGAACAGCTCTCTGCTCTGCTACGGCATTTCTCATCGCGAGGAGAATCAATCCACCCTCGCCGTACCAGCTTGCCTCATCTCTCTACGAAAAACACACCTCCATCTTTTACTCTGTACCAGTAGAGGCGGAGATCCTGGGTCTGGCATATAGCCGTAAGTGGTTACACACGCCGGCCAAGTAAATAGTTTTGGGTTCCCACAAAATCACCACAGTCGTACGCGCGCGACATTAGCGTGCAGAGTCGGGGGGGCGCCGTAGAGTAACACACACCCGTGGGGACCAAGCCCCATCTGCACAAACAGCGCGGAGAGCCCATGAGGCCGAACGCAATGCAACACAAGAACAGCCAATAACCAGACGTGGGCCGCCCGCCGCCGCACTCACCTCATAAAAATGACTCCATGGATCATCGCCTGATCCTGATCCTGAAAACAGCGGGTTTGCGGACATGGGATCCGTCGTGTCCAACACCTAGAAGATTGAGAAACATCAGGTGGTTCGATGGGTATCACGCCCGGGTCAGCCTGGTGGCCCAGGACGTTGTACATATGTAGCTGTAACGTAGATATCGGTGAGGAGGTGTCGTGTGCGGTGGTAAGGCGGCGCCGCAACACGGAAGGCCACGGGGTGGGTCCGAGTGAGCGAAAGCTATACCGCACCTACCGCTGCCCACAGAAAATATTGTCAATCCTGCAGGAGACACCTCGGTTGTCGCATGCTTTGAAGTGAGCACAGAGACTTGCATGATACTACATGACCAGGCAGCAAAACCTTGCCGTACAACAACAGTATATGTGTGTATCCAATCAATCATGCCTGGTGCCTGTTGACGGGCGGGGGGTTCGCGCGCGTGTGAAGTAGACAAGGTGCTTAACTACAAAACAGCACCAACGGCAGAGACTAGAGCTTTGCGCACTTTCGAAATGTCTACCCTGTGCTCCGCCTTTAGCCGACGGTATTCCCCCCGCTTGTTGGCCATCTCCGTCGCCCACTCTGAAGGGGGCGAGTCCCTCGGTACCACCCCGAGGAGCAGGCGCCAGAGCAGACCACGACTGTTGTCATCGTTCCACTCGCCTGACAAACATACAGCCGGCACAGGGTCAACGTGAAACGTGATCCCGGTGGACGACGCCACTGCAAGGCATGTGGCATGGGGATAAAGTGTACAGCAGTTACAGCAGTAGTCAACTGCTGCTGTAGCCTGCACCCACCCGTGCCGGGCACGCATTGAACATGGAACAAATGAATGCTTCATGGCCTTTTTCTCTATCCCGAGCAACGTAGTTCCGGATGTATGCATAGGTAACTGCAATTCACCAATTGACATTTGGGGCGTGTTGACATAAACATCCCTCACCACCACATGCTTACTTCACTTTGCAACATCAACCGCGAACGGGACGCTGCTCCTTGAACCCTGCAGGTGTACATACATGCAGAGCATACATACCTCGGTGAGCCGTATCCGCGACGATATTGGCCCCTTGAAATTGCTCCCAGGTATTGTTGTCCCGACTCAGCAGAGGCAACGCAAGCGTCGCACGATCTTTGGGGTCGCTCGTAGACCGTTCTTCCGACTCGTTCATCATCATGGCGGACACGGACGCCTGGGCTCTAGGACACGGCACGGCCCTCTTCTCCGCACTGCTCAGACTGCAGTCGGTGCGGACGAATAGCACTACCGCGTGGGGTGTTGCCGTATCATTCACGGAGCCCCTTTCCTCGCGTGTCGGGTGTTGTCTGGGCTTGGCTTGTCCGCAGTAGTCCGTGGTCCGAGCCTTTTTGCTACCGCAGCAGCCAGCCAGCCACTCCCTGTGTCGTTGGTCTCGTTGCCCATCTCTTTCCGCCCATCTCCCTCGATTCCCTCCCTACAAGCAGCATGGATGCTTCCCCGGAAGACATTCTGCAGCGATTGAGAGAGCGCGATACGCAGATGTGCGTTCTCCTTCAACGGACCGATCTCCTGAATCGTGTTCATCGTGGAGCAATCAGCGAGCTACCACCTTCGCCAGAGGGAAAGGGTAGTCGTGATTCTTTGAAGGCGCACCTGGCCGTGATTTATGGATGCCAGGACCAGGTAAGCAAGGCGCCATGCAGATGTATGCATCGGCGCTTGTTGTTCATCGGAGGAGTTAGGGTCTCTGTCTCGTGCTGCCCGGGCAAGGATGAACAAGTACCGTGCCGAGCGGCAATCACTACTGCATACCTACTGCAGAAGCTGCACGAATCATCGCCACTATTATAGCTGTATCGTGGGCCTATCGCCGGATTGTATGTGGAGATGAAATTCTATTGTTTCCGTATGCATACAGTAGTCTCAATCGACAGGTTTCCCGAGACACCGCAGGTCCAGCCTTCTGTCATAGACTAGTAAGTGGCATCTGGGGCACCACAACCTGGTTAACCCGTAGGGATTTGAGGTCAAGCAAATGCCGGCACTACGGCGCTAGTCTAGGGTTGGGAATTCAATCATCAACCATACACTCGTTGCGTGCCCCTGCTTTGTGGCATCAGTTTTCTGGCAACGTTTTGTTCACAAGTGCGCGTGTTAAATAGCCCCGAAACCTTTTCCACTGCAACCGCGCGAGAGAGCGCCTCTCCGAAACCTCATGAGTCCCTCCTCGTGCCATGTTCGCAGGCAGAAACCGTACTCAACGAGGCTGTCCCGCTGCCGCAGCCGCCGCCATCATCTTCGCCTGTGGCGTCTACACCTGATGCCTACACCAAAGCCATAAGGTCTCTCCTTTCCACGCCCAAAGCCAACACTGCTGCTACTGCTCGCTCCACGAGAACGCCCTCAAACTCGACAGGATACCCCTTTGTACAATCCGGCGGGCCCCCTTCCGTCCGCCGTCCCGACCGAGGAGACGGTGGCAGAAACAGCGGCAGTGCGGTGACATACCGCATGTTCCTCGAACACTTGACGCGCTCGGAGAGCAAGGGGTTCGTGGAAGCTATCCGGCTCTTCCTCTTCAGCATCCTTGGGAATGGCGGCGCCGTCAACCCCGCCGCCGGCCGGCCGCAGGCGTCGAGCAACAGTGACATCCGGCGGGAGACGGAAGAGGTGGAGGTCTACGGCTCGTCGTTTCTTTCGCAGAGGTACTTAGAAAAGTGCTGCATGCTGCTGTGTTTTGTGGGCGTGTTGCGTACATCAGACTAGTACGGCACCAGCCCGCTCAAAAGAGGAGGTTCTGAAGTACACTATTAAGCAAATACTCGTAGCAAAGGAGGAGCGGTGGTCCAAATAGCCAATCCTTCCAATCGACAGGTGTACCTATCTCTTGTGAAAACAGCAGTGTTGCCGCAAACAGCGAGCAGTGTTCAAGAATACTGCCTTTTCGCCACAACAGCATTGTGAGGACGCACTGCGATTGTGTACGAAATATCGCTCAGTTTTCTCCCTGGCTCCGGACGAACTAGGTAGGTGTACTATCGCGGAAGCTGATTTTCCCCTACAACCAGGATGCACAAAGCCTGTAAAGAAGGCTCCGTATCGCGCAAATCCACACATAGAGGAGGTAATCGATACATGCGTTTACGGAATGTAAAAAGCGGGACCTGTCGAACAACGACGGTGCCCGCGGGGATCAGCAGTACCGTTGTTAGCAAAAGCCGACGGCTCTCCCCGGTTTTGCGCAGATTACAGACCAACAATAAAAAAATTGATCCGAAAATGTTGACCAATGCCGGAAATGGCTAGCCACATCGATACATTACTGCTGCATGTGGCGTAACGTGCCATGTACCCACTCGGCTCAACGCGCTCGAGGAGGGCTTCGAGTAAGGGGTCACGTCTCGAGCGTGACCTCGAAAACACAAGACAGTTCGCCCGAACGCAAGGACAAGAAAGGCCAGTGTATGCATATCGCCGACAACGGAAAAACAGCGTCCGGGCGGGACATCAACAGTCGGTCAGGGCAGGGTGGTGGAACTGCGTCGACCAAGAAGCGCAAGAAATATTTCGATATCTTCCTGCGCAATCCCCTCAACAGGTCCTATGCACCAGCCCCCCTCGTTCCGCGTGCTGATTGTCTTCCAACCCACTGTTTTCCCACGTCAGCAGAGGAATGCTGCTTCCTGGGTAACCCTACGGTTTCTGGGTTATTTTCGTTTTGTGCTCCTTCATGGTGCGTTCGTGGTAGCACTTTCCGCGGCTGTGCGTGAAATGCCCATTTGTGGAAACCAGGATGTAGGCATCTTCCTAGTGGTAGTGACGCACCTTTCCTCCCCTCCCCGGCCTGCTCCCCGGCCGGGGCCGAAATCGACCTTGTGAGTCCCTCGCGGGCGAACCAGGCCACAACAGATAGTAGGTGGGTGGTGTCCCAAGGTGCAACTCACCGCCGCGCTGGCTCAGCGTGGCGGTGAGGATGCACAGACGGTGGTAGTGGCGAGAGGTGTATGTGGACCTTGTCCCCGCGGCAGCAATGCAAAGCGGCAAACTGCACCTGGTAACCACCGTCGCGGAAAACGTGGCCCACGAAGCTGGAGGAGCAGAGAGATTCGTAAAAACCACGCGAGTAAGCACCGTTCGCGGGAGAAGGGAGATAACCGCGGGCGACGCGGGGGGGGAGTGCTGCACCCTCCTCGTCCAAACACCACAGGCAAGCACCGAGC